TACAAACCAGTACAAGTTCTGCCATTGATGTTGGTTGTATGGTGCAATTGATACCAGTAAGAAGAACCCACAGAGATCAATAGAAACCAGTCATATATCAACAAGTCAATAGAGACCATCAAAAATTCTATAGGTACCAGTAGAAAGTTTTACTGGTTTCTATGGGTCATTTTGAAACCAGTAAAAAAAACCCACAGAGACCAACAGAAACCAGTAAAAGTCAATAAAAACCCATAAAATCTTATGGGTACCCATAAAAAGTTTTACTGGTTTCTATGGGGCATTTTTAGTAGGGTTGGCTTTGGATGGAAATAACTGCTCATCCACAACTAGATTTTCTCCTGGTTTATAGAAATCGCACAGTTCTGCATAAATTTATTCCAAATATCGGAGAAACGTGCAAACTTATCACTTTCTAAACGCTGAGTCCTAGTTGACTTCAAGTAAAATCTAGATATTTCATAATGTCTCGAAACGATTGCGAGACATTGTTTCTCGGAAAATAAGTAATTCTTCTTAATAATCAGTGAATGAAAGGAATGTATGTGTACGCCAGATGTTTTTCCAAGAAAATATTTCTGGGCGAGAATACATATAAATCTACCCAGATACTAGCAGTCATTATGATGTTCGTGGCGCTTTTAGGTATAACTAATATCTCCGTAATTTTATTTCATTCGATTATATTTGGTACCAATAATTTCGAGATATTTTAGGAAAATACCAAAATTTTGACTTCTTAAGATAAGGGTTTTAGGAATCCAAGGTCAAATGACAAAGCAGTCAAAATGCTCTGGCGCTCTAGTGTTAAGGTGTGAAAGCGTTATGTGATAGTGGAAGTGTTTCTTGTTTGTACACTGAATTAGCGGATATACTTAATTTAAAAAGGGAAAAGACAATATTTCGGTTTGCAGATACAGGTATTTCAACTACGATAAAAAGAAAAGCAATTGCCCTTATCTGTAATCAGGACAAACGTATAAAAGGAAACTAGAGGTTTGGTAATTCCAAAATAGCAGGTTAACTCCCGCAAAGTTATCGATATTAGTAACCTTGTGATCCTGAGAAGGTCAATTAGCGGATCCGGAATTTATAAACCAGAGAAAGTAAACCTATTGCTCGGCGCAGAGTTTTTTATGATATGTTACGAGCTGGTAAAATCTATGTTCCTACACAGGCTTGATATTACAAAATAGTATGTTTGGATATATAGTTAGTGGAAAATAAATGATTCTCGGAGAAATAATTTATCGTATTGTGGATAAAAATGATAATTCAGAGAGTGAATGAAATGTTTTTCGAACTAGAATCATTAGGAATTAAGATGATCCTTATGTCATGAGGAAACAAGCATTGGAAATATCTAATAAGAAGTTGTTTTAAAGCTGGTTTCTAAGAGGTTACTTTACGTGAAAAGGGACTGGAGGGATTAGCTAGCTGATAATTACGAGTAGCGGAAAATAGATTAAAAACTCTGCAAAGCGATGAATTATGACAAAACTGTTTTCTACATATAGTAAAATATTAGATGATTATCTCAAAGCAAGTATCATTGAAAGAGTGTCGATGGAAGTATACCTATCGTAAACCAGTATTTTACCTACCACACGACGGTATTAGAGAAACCAGTGCTTCAACGAAGACTAGAATAGTGTTTGATGGCAGCTCAAATGAGTTCGGGCAGCTATCATGAACGGTTGTCTATGGACAGGGACCAAATTTAAATACTAATATGTCCCATCTGCTAATTAATTTCCGATTAAATAAAGTTGCAATTTCAGCGGTTGTAGAAAAAGCATTTTGCAGATTGCTTTGCAGAAAGAATCAAGACGCAGTGCGATTCTGTTTTGGAAAACACACAATTAAATGATCTAAAACTAGCGACATATAGATTTAAGCGCGTAATTTTGGATTAAGTCAAGTCCGTTTGTTGGCTGCAACAATTAAAGAACACATAGAAAATATCGAGATGAGCAGCAAGATGTATTTGAAATATTGAATTCTTGTTTTTATGTTGAGGATTTATTACTGGACAGGACAGTATAGATGAGGCTCTAAGCTTATCGGTAAAGCTAAACAAATTATGAGTGCAGCAAATATGACTTGCGCAAATGGGTATCCAATGATCCTGAGCGATGAGAAAATGGAAAAAGAGAGTTCGAGATCCATCCACATAAATCAATGACTCAAACGAGACACTTAAGATTTGGAATATCTTGGGATATAATGAGACAGTCGAGTATAGACACAGACAGTTGATGGAATTCCTTAAGAAGAAGCGTAATACGAAACGTTCATCTTGAAAACTGCCGGAAGATTTTGATCCTTTGGGTAATAACTTCATTTACTGTTAGATTAATTCTTGCTACAAGAACTTTGGGTTTCAAATTGACATGGGATGATGAACAACCTACAGATATCTGTCAAGGAGTGGGCAAAGTGGTGCTGTGAGTGTCATCATCTAAGTAAAAATTGCAGTTCCAAGATTCATTTGAATCCCGAAGCCGATTCCATAGAGATCATGCTTTCAGATGCTAGTCAGAGAGCGTACGGTACTGTGTCTACGTAAAGTGCGGTAAACAAGAAGAAATTTCTGTGAGTTTCGTCGCATCAAAATGTCGTGTTGCACCTGTGAAAAGAATTACGTTACCTCGTCTTGAATTACTTGGTGCATTACTAGCAGCGCGTTTAGTTCTGGAGTGAAAAAATTGCTCGATCAAAAGAATCCTCGAGAAATATTTTATTGACTGATGCCAAAATAGTGCTATGATGGATTAAAGGTACCAGTATCAAAAGGAAATCTTTCATCGCCACAGAGTTAACGAGATTAGGAAGTACACAGCCGACAGAGTGGTTCTATTGTTCAAAAAAGAGAGCCAGCAGATGTTATGACGCGTGGTGTTCAAATTGACTTTTTGTGAACGTTCCAAATGGCGGTCATGCTGTGACTTTCTAACATGCTCAGAGATTCTCATCGACTTATCAATTGAGGTGTTGAAGAAGTGTGTCCAATGAACTTAAAAGGGACAATGAACTGCATAATGATTCTAACTTAGTTTTATTGCATGTAATGAACCAAACCTCTTAATGATATTCTTAATTTGTCTTCTAATTATACTAAACTTATTCGTATTGTAGTTCATTTTCAGGTTATCCATAATTTAAGAACCCTCAGGTAAGGAAGTATGGAGTACTTACTTAGAAGAATAAAGGATGCTGAGGTTGTATATTTTATTAGAGCTAAAAAAAGTGAGAGTTTATAGACGAAATAAATCAATTAAAAGAGGTAAGTGTTGGTAAATCTCAAAAGAAATTAGCATCACTGAATGTGGTTCTTGATAACATGGGGCTAATTAGAGGGACGGCGATTGTCCTATTCGGACCTACCCGCTAATAGTAAACACCCTATAGTTTTACCTAGTAAACGCTTAACTACTATTATTTTAGAGCATTTCATTTGAAGTACTTTCATTTAGGATCACAATCATGTTACGTCAGGTAGACAAAGGTTCTGGCCACTAAATGCAGAAATATTGTAGAAAGATCATCTACAGAGTGTGACCACGTTTAAGAAAAAACCCATCACAGTTCAACAATAATGGCCGAGTTGCCCAAAGAGCGTCTCACACCATATACCATTTAACATACTGGTGTTGATTTCTGCGGCCCATTTGCAATAACGTTTAAAAATCAAACGTAAGGAGTTTGAAAAAAATTTATGTCGTAGTATATGTATGTATGAGTACAAAAGCCATACACTTAGACTTTGTGACAGACCAAACTAGCCAATCTTTTATTTCGAGCTTAAAACGTTTTTTTCTCTAGAAGGGGAAAATGTACTGGAATAATGAGTGATAATTCTAAAGCTTTATTGGTATAGTATAGAACTAAAAAAATTGGCAAAATTGGTGAGTGTCAGATGAGAATTTAGCGAGTTTTATACCACTGAAGGCTAGTGGAAATTTATTCCTCCAAGTCGCCAAATTTAGGGGGAATTGGGAGGCGGGTTAAATCATTTAAGAGTCATTTGAAGAGAGTTATTGGTAATCAGTGTTTAACTTTAGAGAATTTTTAACTGTTTAACTGAAATTGAAGGAGTATTGAACTCAGACCTCTTATCAATTTCAGCCTGATTACAATAATTTGAACTTTGACCCAGGTCACTTTTGGTTGGTATGACCTATCACAACTCTAGCTGAGCCAGATACCCAACATAAATGAAAAACAGACTTTTTAAATGGCAAAGAATCAATAAGTATACACAAAAGATTGAAATTATGGAAACGTGATTATCTTAATAATTTACAAGAACGTCACAAGTGGAAAATTTTAAAGGATGACGTCGTTGGGAACTCTTGTATTAATAAAAGATGAAAAATTTTTTCAACCAATGGAGTGGGGAGAATAGCTGAGGTTTTATGGTAGGATAACAAAATAGAGTAGTAACAGGTAGATTGCCTAATCAACATTTGCTGAAACGAAATGTTCGAGATTATATGTATATTCCTGTAGAATGATGGTTTATTCTTTATAAACTGGTATTTGTTGTAATAATTTGAATGTATATTTTCAATATTGTGATTTATTATTGTGAAGTAATTTATTGTAGTGCCTTTATATTTACATTTATGAAATAATAGTTGAAATTGTTAATTTCAACGCCGGGAGTGTTTTGTATTAGTTGAGAAATGCTTGCGCCAAGCGGAATCTTGGCTAATGGCGCATGCGCCGCCGGAATTGGCAATGAAATTATTCTGTGAGAATTGTGACATTCGAGTTGCGATTATATGTTACGCTGTAAGGTGAACCTAGGCCTGAGTGTCGCTATGGAAATAGTATTGAAACTTGATTGTGTGTATTATTTTTATATATACAGCTATCGACAGGAATAGAATAAGTCAATTCTGAGTGATAGTGATACTGTGACTGTCAAGTTCTCGTGTAAATGATTTAATAATTATTAATTTTATTAATTAATATTATTATAGCTTATTTTTATTATGGATCGATGGTTAAAAACGGGTCGTTTAGAAACGAGACATGATAATCGAGATGATAGTACTGAAAGCTGTAGTGAGGTACCGTTTCACCAGACGAAAAACAAAGGAAATGATGATAGAAAAGGGAAAAAGCGAAAATATGACAGCGACTATCTACAATTGGGTTTTCATTTTACTGGGGATGAGTCGGAACCTAAACCGCTTTGTGTTATATGTAACGAAGTTCTTGCCAACAGCAGTTTAAAACCATCACTTCTTCGTAGACATATTGAAACAAAACATCCGACACACAAAGATAAACCTCTTGAATATTTCAAAAGAAAATTAAGCAGATATCAAAAAGTGTAGCCTTTCTTTCTTCTTGACTTCAAACGAAGATAGTAAAATGGCCCTTGAAGCATCATTTCGAGTAAGTTATAGAATTGCAAGATCTGGACAAGCGCATACAATAGCAGAAAATTTAATTGGACCATGTGCGAAAGATATCGCCAAATGTATGCTTGGGGAAAAGGCAGCAAAGAAAATTGAGCTAGTTCCCTTATCAAACAACACGGTGTCGCGTAGAATTAATGACTTGGCTAATTATGTGGAGAACGAACTTCTAAAAAGAATAAAATTGAATTATTTTGCAATTCAACTTGACGAATCGACGGATGTAACAAATGCCGCAGTCTTGCTTGTCTACGTTAGATATCTTTTTACGAATATTGTTCAAGAAGATGTACTATTTGCAAAACCTTTGAAAACCTACACAACTGGAGAAGCGATTTTCGATATGATCAATGGGTATTTTGAAAAGAATGGAATAAGCTGGTCTTATTGTGTGGATGTGTGTACAGATGGTGCAAAACCAATGACAGGAAAATTTTCTGGTTTTGTGGCACGGGTGAAGAAGATCAACGAGAAAATTCAATGGACTCATTGTTGTATTCATAGACAACAATGTGCTTTAGTATGTAAGCGTATTCCTGCAGAGTTATCGACTACTTTAAGTAATGCTGTGAAAATTGTGAACTTTACAAAATCGTGTGCTACAAATTGCTGTCTATTCCGTACGCTTTGTGAGGATTTTGGAAGTTCTTCACACAGAAGTTAGATGGCTTTCCCGTGGTAAAGTTTTGACGCGTTTGTTTGAATTGAAGTCTGAAGTTCAAGCATTTTTTATTCATCATCCGTTTCATTTGTCTTCTTGTATATCCGATGTTCTTTGGCTGCAAAAGCTTGCGTATTTAGCTGACATTTTTTTCAAACTGAATGAATTAAATACGTCTTTACAAGGACGTATTTTCAGTGTATATGTGAACATCTGAACTATCTTCGATTAACTTTCGATGACCATTTTCCCAACAGATGCAATTTATAGATCTCAAACAACTGGATACGTAATCCTTTTCAAGGAAATGCAAGTTCAGAAACATCTCTAAATATACTAGAAAAAGAAACTCATAGAGTTATCTTGTGACAGTTCTCTATAAGCAATTTTTAAAGATCAATCTTTAATTGACTTCTGGCTCAGTATACAAAATGAATATCCTGTTCTGTCAAAAAAAAGCCATTGAAGTTCTATTACCATTTTGCACAACATATCTATAAAGGATTTTCAACATATACTTATCTGAAAGATAAATACAGAAACAGGTTAAATGCAGAACCTGATCTAAGATCGAAATTGTCAGATATTGAGCCTAGCTTTGAATTACCGTAATTTCCGGAAGAAAGGCCGCATCAGCGTAAACGCCGCACTCGAGAAAAATGGCGGGAAAAAAATTAAAATTACACAGAAACGCCGCAATAGATTAAATTGCGCGTGACATCGTCGTGGGCCGTATAGATGCAAAAACTCAACCTAAGTCCTGATATATGACATACCAGTTAAGAAAAATGCATGAAATGAAACCATAACTCAAAAATAAATTAAAGGTAAGAAATGTATAGCTTCTGTGCCATTTAGAGACATTTTCAAAAATTTTCCGCTCCCTTCTTACTTAAAAACTATCCAACAAGTACTTGTACCCAAACTGATGGGATCTGTATTTGGCAGAATGCCAAGAAAAAATCCATTCATGCTGAAGGGGAAATACGTCAGAGTTCGTTATTGCGAGGCAGGTGGAGTCATGTTCGCCTTTGAAAAAAATTGCAGAAAAGGCAGGGGTGGGGAGAGGATGGGTTCTGGAAGATTCATCGAATGGCAGAGGAGAGAGACTATTCAAACTGATGAGAATGTTGATTTGAAAGGGGGAAGAATGTTATTGTTCTGAGATCTCGTTTAGGGTGAATAAGGCATGTAGGTCCGTTCAAGGGAAAGAATGTAAACAAAATAAAGCTCGCAAAAATGAACTGAGTGGTCTTTTGTGTGGGAACAGCACCAGTCTACGCACAATGACAAGGCCATCCAAACTATGTACAATGACCATCATAGGAAATATTTTATTTTCAGTGCACCTAAACGCCGCATGGGTAGAAACGCCGCACCCGCTGAAAATTTAAGTTTTAAACATATAAACGCCCCGGCGTTTCTCTCGGAAATTACGGTACTTTGTTCTATCAAACAGCCACAAATATCCCATTAAGTTTTTCCAAATGTAAAACATAAGAACCAGTTTGTTGAATTTATCTTGTTTTCAACTTTTATTGCCATCATTTTAGTCTTATAAATGTTTTATTTAAATGTTTCATGATTAATATAATCAATTATTCTGCAATATGAAAAATATATATTCTATCAAATTTTATTGCTTTTTTTTCTACCTGTCATTAACGACTACAGAGGGGGTTCGTCAAATTTTTTCGGACCTTTCTTTTGGTTCGCGAGGAAAAAAAGGTTGGGAAACACTGATCTAAAAGAACAACAACTGATTGACGAAGAAACTAATTTTTGCATTAAAGGAGACATTTCTTCAATATCTTTAAGTAATGGTATAAACACATTAAACAAGTCAAATAAATATTCAAATCTATTTTTGAAATATCCTGACATACTTAAGACAAATTTACTAATTTCAAATACAAAGCATGACGTCAAACACTATACAGTAACTGAAAGTCAACCTGTACATTTCAAAACTCGCCAACTTGATCAGAGACGGCTAGAAAATGAAATAATTCGTCCTTCTAACTCACAATGGCCAAGTTCATTACACATGGTGATAAAAAAAAGTGGGCTCATTTCGTCCGTGCACATATTATAGAAAGTTAAATCCCCAAACAGTGCCTGATAGATACCTAATACCAAGAATTGAAGATTTTCACCCCATTTTAAAAGACAGCAAATTGTTTTTCAAAAACTGATCTCTTTAAAGCATATTATCAAATACCAATAGCAGAAGAGAATAAAAAAAAACTGCGATAATAACCCCATTCGGCTTGTATGAATTTAACGTTATGAGTTTTGGTTTGAAAAATGCTTCTTCAACATTTCAAAGATTCATCCATGAAGTTTTTAGAGATTTAAATTTCACTTTTGCTTATTTAGATGACGTACTGATCGCATCACCTAACGAAGAACAGCATAAGAATCATCCAATCTAGTTTTTGAACGACTAAACAAATATGGCTTAAGAATAAATTTATAAAATTCAACCTTTAGGAAACAAAATGTAGAATTTTTAGGATGATTTTTGATTACATCTGAAGGTTCTCATCCATTAGCTCAAAACGTAGCAGCTGTATTGAATTACAAAACACCCCAAACCATCCATGAACTAAGAACATTTCTTGGCATGATCAACTTTCATCGTCGTTACTTAAAAGACGCTACAAAAAAATCAAGCTATTTTACATGAGTATCTGAAAGCTTCAAAGAAAAAAGACAAAAGAAAAATTTAATGGACAGAAGAGGCATTAAAGCAATTAGGAAAATGTAAACAAGATCTTGCTAATGCTGTATTGCTATCCGACCCGAATTACCTCTAGCAGTGTTTACTATTGGATCAGTTTTACAAAATTACAACAAAAATGGATGGAAGCATCGGCATAGGGGTCCTGCACCTGGAGTGATGGTTTGGACAGCCATTGGGTACACGACACGCAATCTCTAGTTCAAACTGACGATAATTTGTACGCAGGTCGGTACATTTCTGACATCTTACGTCCAGTGGTTGTGCCCTATCTTCGAGGCCTGCCAAACGCCATCCTTCCAACAAGATAATGCAAGACCACATGTTGCACATCGTGCTCTGACATTCATCGATGCACAGAGTATTCGATTGCTACCTTGGCCTGCACTGTCTCCAGATCTGTCACGCATTGAAAATATCAGGTCAGGGGTTGCTGAAAGACTGGCCCGCCACCCCTCTCCAGCTAATACGGTTAATGAAGTGTGGTATAGACTTGAAGCAGCATGGAATGAGTTGCCAGTTTCTGTCATCCAAGCCCAGTTCGACTCTCCCCCAGGGGTTGACTCAGGTAAACCTGGCAGCACTGGCTAGGATCTGTACTTAGGCAGTCTCAACCACGGGGGTAAATAATTTGTCTTCACAGGACTAGAATCCGAGTTCATTCTCAGGTTGGTTCAGGCTTGACAGGGACCCTACTAGTACTGTCGTGTTTGTTCCTCTGGCTGTGGTGGAGTTATATCGTACGATTTACGGTGGTCCTGAGAGGAGTGCCTCGGACGGCTCGGTTTGTGCGTTGCTGTCGGGCCTGGCGATTTCTTGAGGCTGATATTCGGTTGTCCATATCCTTCCTCGAGACGCTGCCAGGTGGACGCCTGGAAGGACTGAGTTCTGTTCATGGCCGATTAAGAGCAATGTGCCTGAACCTTTTGCATAGCACTTATATTGACATAGTTTTTCCCGACAAAGAACTTCCTCTTCCCCTCCTGGAGGGGTCGTGGAATGTGAGTTTCTGGTAGCGCCGTCGCTTGGACTGTGGGGGCGGGCCAGGTCGGTCGCCGCGCGACTCGGTTGGAGCGCCTCTGGGGTCTGAGACTAATCTATGTGGGGTGGTCTTAATTGTCCGCCAGGTAATAGCGACTCTTTCTCTTGGTTCTTATGTCCTATCTTATGCTAAGTTCGATTCCATGTCTAACCGGGTAAGGGCCGTTTTAGCTGCCAGGGCTGGCAGCTGTTTCTACTAATTTTCAGCCCTGTAAACCCTCAGACTGCTTAGAAATTTGACCATTTTGTTTTCATGCCATACTGTTTACGCACAAAAAATATCTTTTTTTGTATTTGCTTTCCTTCATGGTGTTGCAATTTTAATGGCCAGCACTGTATTTCACAGTTGACTATAGTGTTGTGTAATTTGAAGAAAAAGGCTAAAGGGCGCTGTTGCTCGCATAGTTGAAAGAAAAGTTCATGTTGAAGGCGGCGGCCTAAGAATACGCTCTGTATATAGTAATTAAAATATTATTAAAAATGTAAAAGTGTTAAAATTAGTGAACTCACTGAACCACCATCATCTGATTTAGAAATGCACAAATTATTACTAGATGGTGCATCGGCCGGGAAGTAAGGCTTTGTGAAGATTTTAGGTGTTCGATCTAAGTGTTTCGATTTAGGATATTTCATATTCAAGGGACAATGGAATTCCAAATAAAGGTAGGGAAATCTTAAATTAATTATTTAGTGATTATTTGTAGTAAATTAGTAAGTATTCATTATTGCTGTCGTGGGCGTATTTAAATTAAATAAAATGGAAGATAAGTTAGATAGGTTGAAACGTAAACGTTCAACATTGAGATCGTCCGTTACTAGGTTAATTAAAGTGATTGAAGATAAATTAAAAATTGAAGGGGAAGAAAATTTGATTAAAGAATTACGGGAATTGTTTGAATTATTAACCGAAAAGAAAAATAATTTGAGAACGCTTGATGATGAAATACAAGAGTTAATTGATGTTAACTTAATTGAAGAAGATTATAGTATAAGCGAAGAATACAATGACAAATATATAATTGCTTGTAGTCAAATTAAGCAGTTTCTAGGTGCGGTTACCGCAGTACCGCCAGCGAGGAATCTCCAAAGTTCTGATTTGAACCAGTCTAGTGGTAATGGAATTTTGCATGTAAGTTCCAGTTCTAGTGAGAGTAGTACGCTGAAATTACCAAAATTAATGATTGATAAATTTTGGGGAGACCTTAAACAATGGAATGAA